CCATGATGGAACTCGAACTTAATACCTCAACAGTGATGTCGGTTGGTGGCGAGGGAGCTAGAATAGGAGACGAAATATGCCTTGTCAGCAAATGGCAATTCTGATGTGGCTTTAACTTTCCAAGTGTAGTGCAAATTGGCTAGGGTTGCGACGTGATGTGTGCTAAGCTCGACGCAAGTGCTTGCATGATTAGACAATGACGATGTATGAAAGTGGATTTGGATTTCAGCGATACACGACTGCTTTGCTCACTACTGATTAATGCCAGCAGGAGAGCACTGAGCCGAGTTGCTAACCGGCTGTGGAGAATACGCGTAACCACTTCGCCTTTCTATCAGAACCGTCTCCCACTGCACTAACCAATACTGCGTTCACTAATCCGGAAAATTTGCTTGGGCATCATTCTAACATGGGTATGGGCAGGGAAGCTTCTTCTGCTAGTGGAGTGCAAGCTGAATACTAAATGAACACTCAAATGTCATGTAAACACACATTCTATTGAGTCCACTCTCTCGCTTAACATGTATACTGGCAGGTAGGTGCGGGAATGAAGGTGTGAATGCATGTAAGTAGGTAGGTGTGTGTATGCGAGGATTTAGGTTTAGAAGATTTGCGCACACTCACAGCTTCCGTTTAACACATAGGTTGTACGTTTAGTCAATATGCGCTTGAAGCAGGAGACAAGGTGGCACAGAAAATAAGGCATAAAAGAACGCTTCAATGGTGAAGCGACTTCACCACTTGAGTGCCCTGCATGCTATGGAGCTGTGCTTCGTGACATGGGCTTGACGACTTTCAGTGTGCGACACCGCCCCTTTTCCCTCCCTCACAAACGAGACCTCATTGTCACTCCTCTTAGAAGGTCTGTTAAATCGCATGATTGACGAGGCAGGCCGTGCTGTCAACCTGCTCTGCACAAGTCTACGTGGGCCTTTCTTACGACAAGCATTCAGATCACCCACTGCTGTGTGCCAGGCAAATGAAGAAAAATTGACGAAGAGGGTCACATGTGCATCCACATTGCCAATGTGCGAACAAGTAAGTGCGATATTCCTCCACATGTTTTAACGCTAATGGCAAATTACAGACACAACGAAGGCCTCCTAAGCCGAAGAGGCAACAATAGTAAGGAAATTGGTCATTTACCGGACGACCATGTCCACGCTCGCCCTGCTGGGTAGGCTGTTGTGGCAGCATTTGTAGTGACTTGCACTACTACATCGTATTCAGTGTAGGGTCTCAGGCCAGTGGTAATGGAGCCTTCAGTGGCATTTGAGGCGACAACGGCACTAGCGTTGGTCACGCCCAGTTCACTGTCCACTGGCACCGCGATGAGCTCGATTTTCTCTATTGAATCGTGCATAACTTCCTGGAAATCCCATCTTACGTGTAATCCGGATGCATCAGTCCGGTCAAGGGAAACGGTGGGCTCAATGACGGGACGTGTCGTGGTTGCTGCTGCTGCTGTTGTTGTTGCTTTACGTGCCCCTAAAAGAAGAGCATGCGATGATTTAGTAGAAGAAGATTTGCTCACAGTCACTGCTTCCGTTTAACACATAGGCTGTGAATATACTGAATATTCGCTTGAAGCATGAGTTATGGGTGCATAGAAAATATAGCATAGATCAACGCTTCAATGGTGAAGCTGAAGGCCTCCTAAGCCGAAGATAAATCAATTTGAACCAACCACCTGTGCTCACTTACCAGCGCCATGTGCCACATGTCCTCCCAGAATCAGAGCTGCTGGCATGGTGAGTAGGGCAAGAATCCACATGCTTGTGTCTGGTGTGTTTCCAGACCTCTGGCCTCAGTTTATATGCAAGACAGGCAATGTGTCTTATCTGAAGCACACCAATCACGGTTGGCTATCGTCGCCGTGAGTCTGCGGTTACGTTGGCTACATGCTGCCACGCTGGCTTGATGCTGTAATTTAGAGCGTACTGTCTAGTGGTAATTGTGAAGCATCTATGAGTTCTCTCTACATTCTCATGGTTGTACCAGGTCACCTCTAGCGTGTAAGCACCTTCCACCACGATATGTTTTACGAGGAGCTTTTGTAAGGCTACAAGGAAAACGTCTGAGCTAATTTTGATAGTTCGTGCAATCGGCACCTTGTCACTTCTGTGGGGGATATTCGTGTTTTAAAAATGGTGCATGTGCAACTACCTTTTTCACTTTGACCTCGTATCGGCGATCTTTACGGCAATTAAAGAATGGGGTTGTAAATAAATCAATTGAAGTTCTGCGTTATCCATGTGCTCGGTGTACGTACAATATTAGACTCCTCTTTGGCGTTGAATGATATTCATTTACGTCTTTTAACATTGGGATTCACTGAAATTGATTTACCTTCAGGAAAGTAAGCCAATGATTTCACTTTAGCTGCATTTCAATTTTGTGAACATGAAGTAACTCGGGAATAGTATTCAAATGATACCAAGTTATATTTTTGTTCTTCGCATCCCAATAAATTTTATTTTGTAGTGTTTTACCAGACGAATATAAGAAATGCAACCAGCTAAGAGCTTACTTCAAGTTGTTGACACCGTGATGAAGTTAGTTAAGGGATTTGCCGATTGGTACCCTGCGCGAGGTCCTGCCCTCTCTTCTTTGCACGATATATGCGAAACTCGAGTTTGTCAAGGGACTTGCCTATTGGTTGTGTGGACGCCCCGTTTTAGTTGCCGCAACACGCACTACCAACTCACTGAAAACCTGTTGCGATAGCCAGCACACCAAAAATTGTCAAACCTCAAAAAATGTTGCTATGGAAATGATGAAGCCCCATCAAATTCAATCGAGAATAGTGTCCTTCTGCGTCGAGATTTTGCATTATACGTCAGTCTACTTACTATGCACTCGATGGAAGCGACCAAGTAGATGCAAGTTAATCGGAACATCGCCACGGCTAATGATTGGATCACGTTCACCAAAGTGAAACCGGCCAATAAGTGATGGCTTTGGACTAGAGACATCTGAGTGCCCATTACCAATTACTCGAAAGGTGACCAGTTGAGTTTAGAGACTCTGGGATTAGCCTTGACGCTCAGTAGCTGTTAGTCTGCACCAAACTGTGTTCTCGTGAATAAATCCTGCCAAACACGCACAAGCAGCAGACACGTGCACTAAACGAGACCACACCACAGCGACACACCAAATCACCAGTTTGGCGGTCATGACCCACACGTCTAGTCCATAGATTGGATTTTCACGTTCCACCAGCATCCCCCGTGTCTGGCTGTCTCAAGAACAAAGGATTCGTGTTCACCGTGTGGCGTAAATGGAATTTCGTGTATCTTTGGACTAAGCACGGTGTAAAACGCGAAAGCACAGCTCGTGAATGCCAGGCCAAAAACGCGATGTCAAAAGGCATCTTAATCCTGTCTCACACATTTAGCCCCATTTGCCAACCTAAAGAGTCCACATAAGATGTGGTGTGGTTGCATACCGCAACGATTCCATTGAGTAAAATTTAATTCGTGCTCAAGTCAAAGTGTGCGATTCTCGATTGAGCATTCCACTTTATGAGAAC